TAAAATTGAGTGACAGTGAATAATTAAATCTTTAATCTTTATGTTTTGCTTAGTTTGAGGAAGAATATTTTTTTTTAATCTTTGATTACATGTATGAGTATTTATTGAACAACAATATAATTTATTTGTGTTTATTAAATAAATACAGATTACAAATTACAATAATTATAATTGTTATGATTATAATTATTTTCTTAAAAATCCCAACTTAATATTTTTATCAAAACAAATTTTATAATAATCTGTATTTATCTGCATCAAATATTTTATAAAATTTATCAACTACACATCACATATGTTATAGATTATAATAGTAATTCTGACTATAAAGATTATATTATTTTTACTCTAATATAAAAAATAAAATGATTAATCGAGAGAGAGAATGCTGATCATCAGACAATTTCTATAGATATTTATTCCTGTAAAGATCTTTTATAATTATAGATTATTAAACATAAAGATGCTTTTTAGACTACTGAAAAACATTAAAAATTCTCATTAATTTTCATATATTGTATATCTTAAATGAAAAAAGTTGCATATAAATAAATGAAAATAAATAAAAACATTTTAAAATCAGAATACAATATAAAATTAAGCATTACCTTTGAGATAATCCCCAATGAAGATAATGATATAGCTTTTTTCCATCTTTGATTCTTTCCATCCCATGGGCACTAAGAGGACCTTTCCCCTTCATATCCATCAAACTAGATGGTGAGGGATAGGTCCCAATCAATCTGGAATAAATCACCCAAGAAAAATATTTGTGGTTGCTCTCTAGATTTGATTCCAAATTCTCAGTGGTAGATTGATGCTTTGATCACCTTGGACATTTTGCCTTCAATGATATAGGCTATGTAGTACTACTGAATTGATTAATTCAGTAGTACTACATAGCCTATATCATACCTACATATTCTGCTAGGTTAGATTTATAGAAGAATTTTCAGCTAAATTCAATTAAAATATCATTTTAATTTTGAACAAATCTGACAAATGTAGTTACAATATCATAGATATGTCACAGTATAACTATTCTTGAAATTGATGCTGCATAGATACTCAGCCAGAAATGACAAAAATGTAAGGACTATGAAACAAAAAAGAAGCTTAGACTAAACTTTTGTGAATTATAACATGATAAAATATTGACTTGCTTTATCAACATTGTTCATTTAGTGTTAAAGTAGTGTTCAATGTATTCCATGCATTTCTCCAGCAAATGGTAGTGCCATAATTCCTTGGGCTGTTTTTTCCTAGTCAATATGTCAATCAGGAAAAATCAGGATACACTGCCAAGCATTCATCATATCATCTCTGTTAGTAAACCTCTGAATCTTGCAATTCTTCTTTGATCTTTGAGAAAAAAGGTCAGAATCATATAAACTGAGGTCTGGTGAATAGAGAGGATGTTCCGAAATCTCCCAACCCCATCTATGGATGCATGACCAAACAGGCTTGGGAGTATGAGGTTATTGTTGTGCAGGACAATCAAATGCAGATGAAAATGCTTTCTACAAATACTGGAATGATGATAATTTGGTAGAAATGAACAATACTAAGAACACAACAATTAACACCTAAATGCTAATTCCAGCACTGAATGAACAAAAAATTTTAATGCTCAAACATTTTCGGCCATCTTTTAGAGGCCCTCCTCAGGATGAAACACACAAAAAAACAGTTCTATCATTTGAAATCTTCTAACCGTCCAAATTTTTAAATATTTAAACGATGTACCGTACGATATAAAAATCATTACGGCCGAAAACGTTCGAGCATTAAAAAAAATTTTTTTGTTCATTCAGTGCTGGAATTAGCATTTAGGTTTAATTGTTGTGTTTAGTATATAGTTCCAGTTTACTTGTGCTAGTTTTTTGTCCAATACTAAGAAGCATGTAACTAAGTTTCATCTATTCTATTTAACTCTTTCTGTTGTGGACACTCTAGAAAATGGCTAGGGTTTTTGACTAATCTGGATTTGATTCCAATTCACCAAAGTTGTAGGCTGCATCTTAACTGCTCTTACATCTGGCTATCAGTTTCATCCATTATAGCAATTCAATGCAAAAAGTCATCATCGTCATTATTTTGGCATTAAAAATTGCTTCTCTGTCAAGATACATCTGCCAAGACATGAGGTATCCACTGAGAATGAATTTTTCTTTTATGCCATATTTTTATAAGAATGTGATGGACTGTATAAACCAGTGATGAGAAACCTTTTCTGGATGTGGGCTGCAAGTGCACTTCGTAGACTTCTGGTGGATGGCATGCATTTTTCTTACAAAATTGCAGGCTAAAATAACATATGCTAATAACATGCAAATAATATATAGTTTATGTTCATCTTTTCACTAGTTGAGTTTGAATATTCTTTATTACAAACATCAGCTTAATTAGAGTGCATAATGGCATGAGGCAGAAAACAGAAAAATAAGCTTATGACGACAAAACCCCAAAGGCTGCAAATTAACACCTCAAGGGCTGCATGTGTTCCGCAGACACATGCAATCTTTGCTAATGACTGATGTAGACAATAAGATCAGTCTCTGCTGATAAATTAACATAGCTACACTCCTGATCAATCTCAAGGTAAGGCAAGGCACAATTGCAATTGACAAATTGTTATCTTTTGTTAGTGGATGACCAATGCATTGTTTGTCCACCATTTGATATCTTCCACTTTGAATCATTGAATATGGGAGAACATTATTGACTTCAGCTTCTACTAGTTCCTTGTGATACTGTTTCAGTTAATCTATGTTTAACAGCAATTTTTAGATGGCTTCACTATTCCAAATGAGATGACATTCTCATAGACTCAAAAATCCAGGCAATTCTCACAAGATATCTCAGCTGATGTTACTATTGCTTGTATCAGTTTCAAATTAATTTCATTTCTGAGATGAGTTCAAAACTGACTTTTGTAATATAACTTTATTAATCTTATAAGATTTTTTTTCTTATAAAAAATCTTAGTTTTTGAGATTAATATATAGTTGTCATGACTTATCAAATGTACAGTATATAACTAAATGTTTGAATTTATTTCAAGTTTGTCTAATGGAACAGAAAACACACAAAATTAAACATGGAATAAATTCATCAGAATTATATGGTAGAAACTGTTTTAAGTATTTCAACATACAAAATGGATTAAGTTTATGAAAGTTACATTGAAAAAGATAGCAAAAATTTGACTTAATAAAAGATTTGAGTCAAGAGTTTGGCTTATTGAGGGTCAACTGTATATCTAAAATTTAGTATTTTTTCTCATCTATTTTTTAAAACAAGACTGTAAAAAATTTTAAACAATCCCTTTAATTAGAATAATAATGCAAGTATTACTATTGAATTTTTTTGTAATAAACTGTATAATATATCACAGTCATTAAAAAATACAATGCTTTAAAGATAAAATGTTTTAAACAAGATTAAACAGACTTCTAAATACCAACATTGTACTTTTTTGACTGATTGTTTCGATAGGGTCCTATACTTAACATATTATGTATAGGTACAATAAATGCATTGCTTATATTAATAATAATAATTTATATATATTTATAATTTTAATTATTATTATTTTTATTTCTAGAGACCCAAATATTTTTAAAATAGCAAAATTGTGAAATTATTGTGATTAATAGAAAAATGTTTTAAATTCAAAAACATTAAATAAATTATCTGAATTTTCAAGATTATTCATAGTTTAGTAATAGAATGGTAAACAAAAACAAATTCAGGACTGCAGAATAGTTATTACACAAACACTGGACACACAGCATAAAACTCAATCATCTAAATTAAAATAAATTTAATTTATTGATTTAAAATATTAATAAAATTATAACATATTTATTAATATTTTATTCTTATTTTGTTTTGGATAATTAAAATTATTTTATAACAATTTAATGCTTGTCAAAATCCAAATTAAAATTTTATACGTTGAATATTGGAAATGAAAAATTAATTATATTTACAAAAATTCTATATTTCCATTAAATTCAGCATATTTAAAATACATTAAATTATAGGATAGTGTGCAGTTAAGATAAATATTTAAGAATTATTTTTATAGAATGAATTTAGTGTAAAAAACAAAACAAAAACACCACCACCATCTGATGAATTAATTTTCACTTCAAGTTATTAAATATAAAGTTTTACATGTGTAATTTGTCAAAATTCTTAATATCCATTTGGAAACTATAATATAAATTAATTTTTTCTAAATATCACAATTTTAATTCTGAACTCATTTTTGGACTCCTTGTTAGGTGAAACTAATCAAAATAAGCTTACATGTTAGTTGTAGAAATCAATACAGTGCACTGTAGTCAGGGTCATAGCTGGAGCATTTTGCACCAGGGGTAAACTTAAATATGACACCTTTTTGGATAAGCCTTTCATTAACGCTACAAATTTAAAAATCATAAAAAAAATACTTTTTATTAATATAATGCATATTATATTTGTATATGACAGTTTTCTATGAATTTCTTAGTTCACTTATGTGACAATTTTGGAATTTTGTTGCTCTGGACATGTGCCCCCTTACCAGTCTTTCCATGGTCCTTTCCATGGTCCTGACTAGTTAATCCAAATCAATTTAGGTGGTCTGCTAAATGTTCCAGCCAAAAACTAAACAAAATTTTAGACAAAGTATTACAAATTTACCATGTTTTAAAAAATATTGACTTGCTCTTCTTCATATACAATTCCACTAAATAACTCTGTACAGTACAATAATTAGTTCAGTTTGGTGAGAATGCATTGTATTTAGCTACTTGATGTTTTAGAAACAAGCTTTCAGCTTCAAAAATGTTATCAAGTAACTGAATGCTGACTTCTATAACTAATCTGCTAATTTATTTTGATTTATTTATTGTAATTTTAATACGATTTTTAACAAATTAAAATAATAGATATTGATAAATATATATATATAATTTATTTAATTATTAATTATATGTATTTTATTACAGGTATAACAGGGCCTGATGTTAATGGAATAGATAACAACCATGGACAAACAGCAACTGCCAATCTGATTCAGTTTAGTGACATAGCCCCATCAAAATCTATGCCAGGAAAAATGTCTCCAACAGTAGCAAAAGTGGATGCATAAAAATTTAATTAACTAACTTTAAAAATCAAATCCTCAAACTATACAAAAGACCAAGTTATAGTAAAATGTAACATGTCATTGCAATTATAATATTGCCAACACAATGGCAAAAATTTATTGAATAATATAATATTGAGAAAAGTACTTTTTCTACATATTGCAGAAAATGAACGAAGTTTTATATCGCGCGAATGGGACCAAATAGCTTCCGTCAGACTAATGCATGTATGGTCAATTCTGCTAGTGACAGTAATAGTGGCTCCACTGTTTTACATTGTTGCCAACTTCCATGCATTATCAATGTATATTGCAAATATCTATACTGAATGCACATATAGAATAATGACAGGCTTACGAAACGCACACTTGCTGGTTTATAGATATAGCCAATGCTGCAAGAATGGGCAAGCATGTTAGATGGTTCTTCAAAGATTACAATGCTGGATATATCTAGTCTACAAATTTACTTTTATAATGAAGAAATGGGATTAAAAAAGACTTGTTATTAGAAATGATTTTAATGACAAGTGTATAATAATAAGTGTGATAATGTTGAATTATATAGAATAGCAGATGCAAAAAAAGGCTTAAAGTTAATAAGGAAAATAGTTTTGTGTTATGCATATTTAATGACATTTCAGCCAAGAAATTTTGTTTCTAATTATTATTTATTGCAATTTTTTAAATTATCCAGCACAAATTTTATTGATCTGTCCTGATGATGTGCAATTTTATCCAAAATAGAAGTTATTATTATTATTAAAATGCATTTTAGAAAAGTATACTATATTAATTATATACAGTAAATAAACTAGGTATACTAATAAGAATGAAAACTAAATTTTATGTGATAACTGTAAAAGAAACCTGATGGATGGGACCAAGAACAGGATATTTGCATATTAGTTTTGAAGTCAAAGTGGGCAAATATTAAACTGCATGTTTTATTAATCATTTGATTTGTATCAATATCATTAATCATAATTAGACTAGGAATCAATAATTATTATTTTTATTTGTTATTCTTAATATATTCAAAACTTTAAATATTAGACTTGTCATAATATAATAGTTAGTACATTAGATATTTTGTGTTAAATGATAAAACAAATGAGAAATTTACTTGGATTAATATAATTTAAATAATTGCAGAGAACGTTTGACTTAAGCACTGGTACACATTTACTGCAGTGAGAGTGCAGGCAATTACAACATGGATTAAATAATGATGTATAATATGCAACCATGGTATTTCTATTTCTTCCTATCACTTTGTGTTTTGGTGCCAAAATTTACTTTTCCAATTTTAAGTTTTCCTATGCTTACAGACTGTCAACAAACATGCACAGAATGATGATAAATTAGTCACAATTGCCTTCCTTTTGCACATTTATCTTTGACTGCCAAAAATCTGTGCTAAATATCTTTTGTACATTTACATCTGTATGATGAAACTGTACTAATAATTCTATCATACTGATCATATCAAAACTGATGTACTGGTCTTATAAAAGGAACACTGGCAGGTTATGTGCCTTCAGTTTTCTTCTCTACTGGAGATATGAATATACAAGTTCTTCTTTTTTTTTTTAATATTTTATACAACAAAGATCAATGATCTGAAGCAAAAATCTCTCAGTGTTCCAAAACTGAAGAAGATAAAAGTTTGCTCTTCAAAGTGTTTGTTCTGTTTGGCCATAAATTGTGTCCCATTTTTCATTGGAGTCATCTACATACACTTGCCACATTATTTTGATTTAAAAGCTTGCTGCACTCTCCTGTCATCTATTGTGATGAATGTACAAGTGCCTGCCTGCAAGATAACTATTTTCACTGTTTCTATAATATATGTAATATATATATCAACTATTTAGATTACCATGGTAATCATTAACCTGCACAGACAGTACAAATAATCAAGAGAGTTAACAAAAAAGACTTCAAAGTCTGAATGATATTAAACAAAATGTAAATAAATTTTTGTAAGGTACAGGAGAAAGAAGACAGTAACCTGAGAGCAAAGAATTTCAAAAAACATGCAAGATTAAACTGAAATCATCAAATTGTTTCTTCAGTTAACATCACTACCATCATAACCATTTTATCTCATTCACTGTCTTTCAAAACTTGTTACATAATTTAGTCTGGTGAATATATGTAATTTTAAACTTGTGTTTATTTTGTTTATTTTAAAGACTTAAAATCCTGAATGTAGATAACATTTCTTAATCCCCAGTTCATCATACTAATGCATCTCCTGTTAATGGTAGTATTGTATGCACAGGATTATCATCACTGTTTATAAATAACAATAAAAAATAATTATATCATTCAAGTGCATTACTGACAAAAATTGTTTCAAATTTTTTACTTGAAAACATTTTTATCCAGTTGAAATCCAAAATGAATGATAAATGAAATTTAAAAAAAATAGTTAATCATAGAATACATTTTAAAAATTAAAATAAAATGTATTC